TATATATATATAATTTTATATTAATTCAAGATGATTTGATATTTCAGTCTTATAAAATAAAATTGATGTAATATATACATTTTAAAATATACTAAAATATAAACACTTTGATTTCAAATTATTGTTTAATTTTAACAAAATTTGATATAAATATATAAAGTAATATGAATTTTCAATATAACAATTGTATTTACAAAATTCTCATTTAATATAAAATTATTTAATATTAAGTAAAAGTTACAACGATGTTATTATAACTCATATATATATATATATATATATATATATATATGGTAAAGATTGGTTGGAACCATAAATAATATATTGTAGCACGAAACTGTTTAATTATTTCTCTAAAGGAAGACAACATATGTTAGTAGCTAGCTAGTTTAACAAATGAAAATCCATTAATTTTTGTTTTCCCCTTATGCACTTTAGAGTCCTTCCACATGTGGCGCGTTCAAGATGTCATAAAAAAACACGCAAGCTAGCTAGAACCATAGGAGACATTTGACCAACACAAGAGCCAATATTATTTCGTTACCACATATATATTCATTATTTTCTTTAGTGATAAGTTTTTATGATTTTCATTTCTTTGAAGTGGGTTTTTTCCTCCTCATTTACCTTCCATAATCCCACGCGCACGCTGCCTTTGCTCTATATAAACCCTCAACACTCTCATTTTCCCTGCACCACTTACCTGGCTTGCATATCGCAACGCACAAACCATTTCCTATCTTGGTACTATAGCAAGAGCTATCAACTTCACACACCTTTACTAAACATAATGGCTTTGCTGAACAAGAATACTCACCAGCTTCTTTCCAAGATTGCAACCAACGACAAGCATGGAGAGAATTCTCCTTATTTTGATGGGTGGAAGGCTTATAATTCAAACCCATTCCACCCCACAAAAAATCCTCAAGGTGTTATCCAGATGGGTCTTGCAGAAAACCAGGTACACGCATGTTGCAATATTTTTGTTTATGCTTTATAGCTTATATTGTATATTATATACATTTTGTACGCCCACAAAATGAGATGGTTAATTGCATGCATGTTTCATATATAATTAGACTAAAACGGGTTTCTGCTTTTAATTTCTTAACTTTCCAGCTATGCTTTGATCTGATTGAAGAATGGATAAGGAACAATCCCAAGGCCTCCATTTGCACTAAAGAAGGAGTGAACTGCTTCAAATATATTGCAAACTTTCAAGACTATCATGGATTGCCAGAGTTTAGAAAAGTACGCAAATTAATTTGAGACTTCATGATAAGATATAAGCTTATAATTAAGACCCTATAATAACTTTTTTACTGAAAAGAATTTTTTATTTTCAGTAAAGCAACTCTAAAAAATTCTTCTTAAATATGTATTTAAACGTAAACGTGTCGTACGAAATTAATGTTGGTGATAATAAATGTGTTTTGTTATTTTATGCAGGCTGTGGCAAATTTTATGTCAAAAGTGAGAGGTGGTAGGGTGAGATTTGATCCTGACCGTATATTGATGAGTGGAGGGGCCACAGGAGCGAACGAGCTAATCATGTTCTGTTTGGCTGATCCTGGAGATGCTTTTCTGGTTCCTAGCCCTTATTATCCAGCGTATGTATCCTCACTTTATCACATATGTTTTCATTCAATGAATGATACTATTTCACACACACACAACGTTAAAAGTGGACACAAATAAAAGCAACCACAAAGTGTAATAACTATTTTGTCTTGATTAAAAGGGAACCGGTGGCTTCATTATTCAAGTGTTCTTCACAAATATCATTCAACAAAATTTTGTTTTCTAGTTATAGAATGACAAAAATAAAATCCCAGTTTTCAAACCATTGAAATAAGAGCACTCCAGATTGAAGAACTATAAAAGATAATTCGTAGATCTTCGCTAAATAATGTTCAACACACACGTGTCCAAAGCAAGAAAAAAAAATTACTTGTTAAAATGTGTTGCATTCTTTGCAGCTTAATATTATATATTATAAATTGACAGTTTTCGGTTTGAAATAAATTAAGAAGAATTGATCAATAGTCTCCTCTACCAACTACGGAGGTGTCAATCTTAAACTTTCACATTTATTTTAGTGGCATGATGCCCAACATCATTCAAACTAAAAAATCCATATACATTAAGATTCAATGAGTTAGGTCAATATTTGCTATTAAAATATAATTTTCAGTGAGTGTCCTATAACACTTGTTCAAAAATAACAAGCAAGCTCTCGAGAGTTGCATTTAAATAAGCAAGTTCTTGCACAAATTTAATATTACTCATGACTAGTAGTCATAATCAATTTATTTATTTTTAAAAAAAATTATTAGACAAACTTACCCTTAATTGACAAAAAGTCATTTTTAACACAAAATTAAAAATCAGTATTGTTATTAGTTTGCTGTAACTTTCATATATATAAATTAAAACAAAAGCATTTTAATCAAGGTCATTAATAAATGTAAAGCTTATTAAATAAGATAGACAATATTCCAAGAACATTAAATGCTTTATAGCACGCCCATATACGTATTTAACCTGCTAGGCTGCTATACCAAGTGATTTCGTCAACAAGAGCATGTTTGGCTATAATAAGTAAATACAAATTCGAAAGTTGATAAATGATAAATAGTTGAGTCATGCGTGGACATTTGTCTTTGACCTTTGAAACCATGACCACCTTAGCTCACGGTCATGTTGTATTAATCAAATTGGAATCAAAATCCCAAACAGCTGTACACAGTTGGAAATTTTGCACGGTCAAGAACCAATTCAAATTTTCGTTACGGAAATTTTCATACAACATTTTTTATTTGCTAATTAACATGTGCTCTCAAAGCCATGATCAATATTAAATTATTGTACACTTTGTCTTCACAACGCTAATTGTCACAACTTTTTAAAATTTTACAGTCTACAACAAGGAATTAATGATGAATATTTCTTAACTCCCACCAATACGTAGAAAAATCTTAGTCAACTTTTAATCTTTGTCTGACCACCACACTGCAGTCGGTCAACAAAGAGATTTGAATAGAGCTTCACATATTATGACGCAATTAAGAAGTGTCAAAGTTAACATATATCAACGTTTCATCATGCACGTGTTACAAGCATGACATGTTCGATTTGACTGACATATATTCTGCATGTTTTATCGCAGATTCGTCCGAGACTTGTGTTGGAGAACAAGGGCGCAACTAATTCCTGTGGAGTGTCACAGCAGCAACAACTTCAAGATAACAACAGAAGCTCTTGACGAAGCTTATAACAAAGCAAAAGAGGATAACATCAACGTGAAAGGGTTGATCATAACAAACCCATCAAACCCTTTGGGAACCACCATGGACAGGGAAACACTGAAGAGCATTGTTGGCTTCATCAATGAAAAAAACATCCATTTGGTGTGTGATGAAATCTATGCAGCCACAGTGTTTAGAGCACCTTCCTTCGTGAGTGTCTCTGAAGTCATGCATGAGATTGAACACTGCAACAGTGACCTCATTCACATTATTTATAGTTTGTCTAAGGACTTGGGGCTTCCGGGTTTTAGGGTTGGTATAGTTTATTCATACAATGATGGAGTGGTGAATAATGGGAGGAAAATGTCAAGCTTTGGACTAGTCTCATCTCAGACACAGCATTTTCTGGCTGCATTGCTTTCTGATGAGAATTTTGTGGAGAGGTTTCTGGCAGAGAGTTCAAGAAGGTTGGCTGCAAGGCACAGCCACTTCACAAAGGGACTTGAGAAGGTTAACATTACTTGCTTGCCAAGCAATGCAGGGCTTTTCTGTTGGATGAACTTGAGGAGTTTGCTGAAGGAGAAAACATTTGAAGGGGAAATGATGCAGTGGCGTTTGATCATCAATGAAGTGAAGCTTAATGTGTCACCAGGGTCATCTTTTGATTGCTCTGAGCCTGGTTGGTATAGGGTGTGTTTTGCTAACATGGATGATGAGACTGTGGATGTTGCACTCAAGAGGATCAGGGCATTTGTTGGGAAAGAGACAGGGAAACCAGTGGAACTCAAACGTTGCAAAAGTAACCTTAGACTCAGCTTCTCTTCGAGAAGATTTGACGAGAATGTTATGTCACCTCACATGATGTCACCCCATTCACCAATGCCTCACTCACCCCTTGTCAGAGCCACTTAATTGGACCAGCTTACCTTCAGAAACATATATGTAGCAAGTTGTATTACGTCCTTTCTAAGCTGATTTTTATTCATGTAATGTTGTCCTGCATATGTGGACAGATAACTCTACTGTAGTTAGGTAACTGAAATGATTTGTTCAATTCAAGTTATATATATAAAGTCTCTTTATATACAAGCATGAATTACTTTTGAGGGTTTTTCTACCGAAAAAACTATATTTTCAGTAGAAAAACACAAAGTATTTTTAACTTGTATTCAAACTGACTTATAATATTATGATTTTGAATTTATGTTCTTCCATTATGTAAAATATGAGTTTGAGTTTAACTCGATCCTATAAAACTTTATTGTAGTCACAACTTACTTGCCATTCGCAAGCATTACTCATCTTATATATGATTACAAAGAGATGGTGAACTCATAATATAGCTTAATTAACAATTTGAAATAATCTAACAAAAAATTCATCTTCATTAACATTTACATATTTATCTTTATGTTTCCCCTAATCATTGATTAACATCTGGACTACGTGATTGCATGAAGTGCTCAAGAAAGTTCCCTAGAGAAGACGGGCTTCCTATTTTAGAGTGGTGATAACAATTGGATAGATACTTTAATTTTATGTGATCATACGTGCATTGGTTCAAAGGGTATTGTAACTTTAACAACTGATCACAAGAATAAACTGATGCGAGATTATTTCAGTTTAATTAGTAATTTTGAGTTTAAATCTTGTATATATAACTACATTTACTATCTCAAGAGAGAGTTTTACTGTATATAATAATTTCACCCGATTCAAAAGATTGCTCCAAGTGGTATTGATAAGAAAAGGTAGTGTAACTTTCAACTGAGATCATTTTCTACTATGTGGGGGGACAGAGTGACCCACACACAGAGTGAACACATTTTAGTATTTTGATTGAGTTTCATGACCCAATTCAAGTTGTCTTTACTCTTTTTCCAGTAACCAAACCGACCTTTGGAGCTTGATGATCCATAATTGGTGCAGGGGATTAACTTATTTGGGAGCTTTTCTCGCCGTCTGGGACACGGCTATTGTGCCTTAACAATAGTCTCATCAATCGGAAAGTTGCACCATTATGGGAATTACCACATAAGCCTTGACAGTGATCTCACAGAACTAGAGCATGAACCAAAGAAAGTTGCATCATACATGTGGGGTAAACTATTTTAGTACCTTTGACAGTGATGAGTTAGGCACTTTTATAGTAGTTGAAAGTGACACAATTAGTTTCAATTGGGGTATTCAACTCTTGATTCTTAATATTTTTAAGGATCGTCTTCCTCTTTGTACCAAAAAATATAGAGTTTAACAAAGAATGGTAATCGTTATTTATATCAATAAGAAAACAAACACCTCTGGCTCCAGTTCTTATTCTGTTATTGAAGTTGTGCTGTACTGCAGTTTTATATCTCGCGAGGGTCTTTAAATATTAAGTTTGGAGTTAGATTAGATCTACAAAATCCAAATTTGTACAGATAATAACTTCCATCTTTAATAATATTCCAGAAAGATCTTTATTTTGGACTTGGTAATCAAGTCGAATTAATGTGCAATAAGCAATAAGATTAATCAAGGATGTGACATGCACTTCTGTGCACTATATATCATTTTATATATGATTGCATGGCCCTTGTGTTAGCTTTGGTGACACCAAGCTTATAAAGTAATCGATGACAAATTTATACATTTTAAGTAATTTTCTTATTTGATCAGCAAGGTTAAGAAATTTGAACCACAGAATGCAGAACTATTTCCTGATTTTTTTCATCAAACTATAATAGGACTAATGATAAGGTAAAGCCAGTAAAGTTCAAATTTTAGACTCAATAATAAAAAATTATTCTTGTTTTTGAATTTTATGAATTAAAAGAAATATTTGTAATAAGAAAGTTAGAACTTATATATCCAAATAATGACATCTAAGTAATGAAACGTGGAATTCTTGCAGACATTTTAAATTCTCCGGTACGTACATTTCAGTGGACGTCCTAGTCAGTTCAAAATTTTCCAATCCATTGTAAGAAGCTGGTATTTAAGCAGAAGATAAGGAGAAAAAGGTATGTGACAGGGAATAACAAGGAGTTTTTCCATAAATTAACGGGGTAATTTACGGGCGGTGTATTAGATTAGGATTTTAAAGGATTTTTTTAGTTAAAAAAAGTCATGTAATTTTTAAAAGATTTTGCAGGATTTTCATGACTTTTAAGATTTAGTAAGATTCTACAAGACTTTTAATCAAGATTTTAATAGATTATGCTAGACTTTTAAGTTAAGATTTTAATGAATTCTGTGGGACTCTGTGAACTTTGCAGAATTTCGTAAATTTTTTAAATAGGACAAGAGTTTAAGATTTTTTTTATAAATTCAAATTTAAAAAGAGTCAAATATAAAAATAAAAAAAATAATAATATCTGGATAAATAATAATAATAATAATAATAATAATAATTCTCCGTAATATCATGTCGTTCTAAATAGAATTCACCTGCATATGCTAAAAATTATTCTAAACAACATTTTAAATTTTTTATATTTGTGATTTAAAATATTTTATTTATAATTTTATAAATGATTAAAAAAAATAGTGGGACAACTACCTCTTTATAACTAAATATGTCTCTTAATTTTATATCGGTAATGAAGTAGAAATTTACAAATATCAACTAAGAGAAAAAAAATATATCTGAAATTTGTTACAGGTATAAAATAATTTTTTTAATTTTTAATTGCTTTCAATTATTCATTGGTGAAGAAATATTTTTAGTATTGAATTCTAAGATACTATAATGTCTTATGTTAATTTTATTTTTTAAAATATAAAAATCCTTATTCCATAATATAAAAATTAAAAAAATAAAATTCATAATAAAAAATAATAATAATTGTTGAGTAATAAAAGGGGAATGATAATAATAACAAATTCAATAGAGGAAGAAAGATCGCAATTTTTGTACTGATAGGGTTCTTCCCTCAACTAAGATCCATTCTTATTTCATTCTACTCACAGAAACTCTAACTCAAATTCATTATATATATATATATATATATATATATTATTCTAATAAATCTAAATTGATTATAAGGTCTTGAAGATCTATAGTTGATTATAGAGATCATGATATCAATTTTAGCTTTCACCTTTTCTTTTTCTTGATGCGTGTTATAAAAAAATTACTAATTAAAATTTGAAATTTCAAGCATTTTTTGTTTTATATAAGTGAGGAACAATCTCAACTAAATAAAGTAAGTCAATTAAAGAGAACAAAAAGAAAAATAGAGCAAGTCAATGACAATATCATTTACCTATAGAAGTTTCACCAAATAGGGGAATGGAATGAGAACAATAGTATAGTATTATATATGAGCAGTGGTGCAGTATTATTAACAAGAGAAAAAATGGAGAAGACATGAGCATAGAAAAATAAAAGAGATGAAAAACTCACTTGAAAATTCTTGAAGCACTTAAAAAGTCACTTCAAACAATCCTCCAAAATCTTATGAGTTTGGATGGGATTGTTTTATGAATTTGGTATTTATAGATACCACTAAAAAGTCTTTCAAAATCCCTCTAATACAATAATCCTTTAAAATCCCTATATTTTTGAATATCAATGAATTATTTTTAAGTTGTAAAAAGTCTCAAATGAATACTAATGGATTTTAATGGATTCTTTAAAAAATCTTGAAAATCCAGATTGAATACCACTAGATTGTGACATAAAATCCTAATCGAATATCAACAGACTTTTTTATTCAAAAAAAGTCTTTTAAAATCCTATAAAATCCTAAACTAATACACCTCCTACATTTTTTATAACCTTTTTACAAGCCATGCAGCTTACTCACTACTCGGGACATTCTTTCTTCTTGCATCCTAACTTCTTACCGAAATAGCAAGTAAATTTCTCATTCTTCTTTTCTTTCATGGAGATGAATGTAGCCAAAAGGTTCTGTGCCTCTATTTTTTTTTTTGGCAAAGTATTGCTCAATTTCGAGGAATCTCTTGCACTTTGACTCTCATAAATTTTGGATTAGAGTGCTTCATAATCATTCAGCCCTTAGTTAGAAGTTTTCCTATATATAACATGTATAGAGCAAATTATATCATTCATCCAATTATTTGCCTCTATCTTCTCCTTTCTTTTTTGGCAAAGTATTGTTCAATTTCGAGGAATCTCTGCACTTTGACTCTCATAAATTTTGGAATAGGGTGCTTCGTGATCATTCAACCCTTAGTTAGAATTTTTCCTATATATAATATGTATAGAACAAATTATATAATATAGAGTAAATTATATTTTACTTTATCAAAGAATACGAAGGTTGTACTATCTTTCTCTCTTATATTAAAAATTATATTTTTCTTTTAGAAATTTTAATACATGACACTTTATCTAATTTTTATACTAACACCGCCACCAACCTTCCTTCGTAAGTTAAAATGAACATTTTTTACCTTTAATAAATATAAATATTACACTTTAACAATCTTTTAATTTATATATTCAATTATTATTTTAAAATTATAATATTTTTTTTAAAAAAATAATAATATATTTTAAATTTTTATTTTCACAAAATATTTTTAAAGTTATAAAAATAAAAATAATATATATATAATCAAATATGAATATTAAGATAGTATTTAATCATTGTAATTAATATAATTTTTAATAAATATTTAAATAAAATAATATTTCCATTATATAGTATTAATTATATATATTATAGAATTAAGATAATATTTAATTGATTTTTTTTAATAAACTATTTTCATAAATATCTAAATAAATTGATATTTTCTGATAAAGTATTATTTATGATATTCAATAAATGGAGAAAAAGGTATG